TGTACAGAAGGAGAATATTTTTCAAAGGCTGTTAGCTCTAAAACCCCCAGTGCTTTTAATATTATGGATGTTTAAAAAGAAAATCAGTTTTAGTGTTTCAAAAGAACAGAGTTCTAGAATGAGTATTAATAATGTTGGTTTTAACGTTATTAAATCACTGAAACTAAACCAAAGTGGGCTTTTTTTTTTTTTTTTCTCTCTCTTACACCTGCGCATGAAAACAGATAAATATCTCCTTTGCCAAGGGAGGTGGCAGAGGTAGGATTTGCAGCCCAGACTCCAGGGAACTGCTGCAGTGGATGGCCTGCAAGATGGACCATCCGTGGCACAGCATCTCCCCCTTGTGTCAAATTGTGGTCTAACCATGCATCTTTAGCACAACCTTTGCTTTCTGGCTTGACTTTGCACTCGGGGGTACTTTCACAAGCCCATGGTGCCCGATGGGATTCATCCCAGAGTACTGAAGGAGCTTGTGGGTGTTACGGCAGGACCCCTCTTGATCGTCTACCAAAGATCTTGGGAGTCTGGGGAGGGCCCTGCTGACTGGAAGCTGGCCAGCGTTACTCCAATCTACAAAAAAGGGTGTGAGGGAAGAACCCAGGGAACTACAGACCTGTTAGTGTAACCTCAGTTCCTGGAAAAATTATGGAGACGATTGTACTGGGTGCTGTTGAAAGGCATTTAAAGAGCAGTGCGATCATCAGGCACAGTCAGCATGGGTTCACAAAGGGAAAGTCCCATTTTGCTAATGTGATATCCTTCTATGATAAGGTCACCCATCCAGCGGATGAAGGGAAAGCGGTGGGTGTAAGTTTTTTCTGGATTGTAGTGAGGCTTTTGATACTGTGCCTCACAGCATCCTTCTGGACAAGTTGTCCAACTGTGGGATGAGCGGGTTCACAGTGCGCTGGGTGAAGAACTGGCTGAAGGACAGGGCTCAAAGGGTTGTAGTGAATGGGGCTACATCTGGGTGGTGACTGGTCACCAGCGGTGTTCCTCAGGGCTCAGTTCTAGGGCCAGTTCTGTTCGATATATTTATCAGTGGTCTGGATGCAGGAGTTGAACCCACCATTAGCAAGTTTGCTGATGATACCAAACTGGGGGGTGCCGTTGGCTCTCTTTAGAGGGATCTAAATAGGTTGGAGCATTGGACAATGGTTAATGGGATGAAATTT